ATGTTCCTTGTATCCCAAGAATTTCAAGGGCTTTTATCATGAATGGGTGTTGTACTTTGTTGAAAGCTTTCTCGGCATCTATTGATATTATCATATGTTTTTTATATTTCTTTTTGTTGATGTGTCAGATGACGTTGATTGATTTTCGGATGTTGAACCATCCTTGTGTCCCTGGAATGAATCCTACTTGGTTGTGGGGAATTATCTTATGGATACATTGTTGGATTCTGATAGCTAAAATTTTATTGAGGAAGAATCACAGTGTTTTTTATTATAGGGTTGGGGTTGGGGTTTCTAAACTATCTGAGGGATCCCTGACTTGGGAATCTGGACTGGGCTGGATCACATATAAATCACAGCAAAAACTTTTGCCCAGGTTATGCAAGCCAAGTGAAGAGGCCATCATCAAAAGCAGGCTGACTATTCTCTTTGGCTCCTGGTCCCACACTCCAGCGCTGGCACTCAAGACTTGATCACTCCAAGGCAAAAAGGGATACTGACAGATGAACCCAAGGAAACACCAATGTGTTTCACTGCAACTAAAGACCTGAGTCAACCTTAAGCTGCTCACCCATACCCAGGCCTTCTCAGGACAGAGAACAGGATCAGGTGGGAGACATGGGCCTTGAAACTGCACCCTCTGAGTGAGGGTTTCAAGAAACAAAGGGGCCCAAATTGAGGTCTGAAAAAGACTGAATTCCATAAAGACACATTCAGGCCCATTTACATTCAAGCCCAACCCTCTCCTATACCCACCCCAGAACTTCAGCTCAGAAAGATCCTGGAGGAAGCTTCAGCCCACATCACATTACCCCCTCCATGGCCAGATGTGTCACTAACACAAGGAATTGGAGTTGGAAAGACTGGACTTAACAGAACTCTCCCACATCTCACTGTGAGCTTGGAAACCTCTCCACACTCAGCTGTAAAGTGGAGATAATGAGGTCTGACCTGGACAGCCTAGAATTAAAATAATGTGCAGATTTTCATAAATTGTAAAGTGCTACACAAATGTAAACGATCATTCTTGTTATTCCACAGGTTAAGTTCTTATTAAATGACCAGATTCCCTAAAGAGCAAGCAGAGATTGGATTGACACTCATATTTCAGCAGGCATGAACACACTCACGTTGGCCCCTGAAGCCTTGTCCATGTGGCTGGCTCTGCAGGCATCTGCCAAGTTGACCTCTGAAATGTTTAGTATTTTCACACACACCCAAGGAAGACTATCTTCTTCTTGGATGCAGAGACATAACAACATCCTCCCCCAAAGCTGGTTTCCAGTGAGATACAGTAGCTTTGTCCCCCAAAAGACTGTTACTCCTTCAGTGAGAGTTTATATTGGATGTTCCCATGCACAGAAACCTAGTCTTGAAGACTCTCACAAGAATGAGGGCCTCCTAGCTTGTCTGGCTTGTCTTGGTAGCCAGTCTGCTTCTCCCTCATCAACTCACACTGAGGTTGCGAACTACACAGTGTTCTCACAGGAAAGGTGTGAGAGGCGGCCACCCTCTTGGGAAGCAGTTCAGGGCAGTAGTGAGGGTTCAAATCCCAGTTTTGACACTATCTGTTATTGCTGGGTTCTCCATCTATAACATATGGATAACAGAGGAGTACCTACCTCACGAGCTGGTTAGTGGTATTAAATGACATAGTGCGTGTTAATGTTACTTCCATCTTATCACTGAGTCTATGCCTTTAGCTACTGCCTTCTTTATGCTTTTGCTTTCCATTTTCTCATACTAAGTGCTCCAAATAAATAACATACTAACAGCAAATAAATAAATTAATGCCTCTGCTCTTTGGGCAGGTCACTGTATTTATTACTTTATACCTTATTTCACCCAATCTTTGGGGCTGGCCCAGACCCCTTCTCTTTGGGGAACAGCTCCACAGCTCATGAGGCTGGCAGACCCCAAATGTGAGCACACCTGCTGAAATACTCCTGGCGCTGTGTGGGGGTTGTTTATGTGTGTTCCTATTTCCTGCATTAGACTATTAGCCATTTAAGTTAAAAAAAAAAAAAACACACTTCACATGGTGTCTTCCTAAATAGATAATGCTCCATAAAAGGCATTATATTTTTATTCCCTGGAGTTATCATTCAAACTCATTCTGCCACAAAGGCAGATTGCTGTCTTCTAAAATCACAACTTTGGGGGTGACCCTACACATGAACGGAGCCCCTGGGAGTAGTTTCAGTTGTCAAAATTGGACACGTTCTTCTTTTAGAAGGAAACAGAATCAGATACATCCTTCCTCATTGATTAATCTCTGGATTTAACTGGAAAATTTAATTAAAATGCTGCCATTTCTGAATATTTGATTCCCTTGGGGGAAAAATGCCACAGATAATCATGTGACAAATATCTCAGGTCACAGGACAGCTATCCTTTCAGAACTTGGTGTGCAAAGGCTAAAATCTTTCCTCTGGTGGCTGGAACTTGGGGACTCTGACTTTCTGGTGTTGCCAGTACCTTCCCAGAAGAGCACCTGCTGAGTGATGGGTGATCTTCAAATGGATCCCTGCACCTGTGTCTGAAGCAGCTAGAGAAACCGACTCTGGGCATAGATAAAGAAAAGAATAAAAATAATGTTCCCTAAAGGGCAAGTTCAGAGTTAAAGAATTTACAAAGGCAGCTGGGACTCTTTTTGCTTCAGAGATGCTGCCACCCACAGGGCAAGGTAGCAGAGTAGAGAGGAACTGGGGGCTCTGCCCCAACACCATCTAAGGGCAACTCCCTGCCAGGTGCTTCCCATGGACACCACATCTCAACCTTCCAACCAGTCCATGAGGCCTATCTCATGAGTCCATTTTACAGATGAAGAAACTGAGGGCCAGAATAAAGAATGCCCAAGATACCACAGACTAGAATCCCCTCTCTCTGCTCTATGTCTTTGAGAGGTGTTCAAATTGGTAAAGAGGTGAGATTTGTTCTCTCCACCCTCTTATCTCCGGATAGGCTTCAGGAGTGCTGGACTGTGAGTGCAGGCTGGTTGGCTCCTCAGATCCTCTGAGAACTCTAGGAATATGGCAGAGTGAGGCAGGCTTGCTGAGTTTGGAGAGAGTGCTCTAGGTCCCAGCATGGCGCGGAACTATTTATTGATGTGGTCACAAGTCTCCTACTCCCTTTCCTGTCTCTTAGTTCTTCTCTCTCTCTCTCCCGCCGCCCCCCCCCCCACAGACACAGACACACACACTCAGACTTCATTGTTAGAAAATCTGCACTGATAACCATACTTATGTTAAGTTGCTAAGAATCATCACCACCTTCCCAGGTATCCAGGACAAACAAAAATTGAGGTTTAATATTCTTATACATCCAAGAGAATTCCAAAAGACTAGTTAAATCTTTCTTGAAAATCTACTTGGCCCCTGCTGGGATTACCCAGTCCCACTTGCAAAGGGGTGGCCCCAGCCTTAGCTGCTACTGGCTCCCTGTTCAGAAAGCAAGCCCTTTCATGGGGCTCAGCTGTTCCTCAGGCATCCAGTAAAGCTGGTCATGCAAAGGCAGAAAATGTGACAGTTGGTAACCTCCAGCATCAGCCTATGGGAGCAACAGAACATTCTCTGGAGCAGCCACTCCTTGGACAGCTAAAGCAGCCTATTATTCAGTTTATATAAAACATCCACCAGCTACATGGCACCAATAACTGAATATCTCCATTCTTATCAAGTCCACGATATATTGGCCACACTGCCTTGCCACTAACTTTGGAAACCATGAACAGCTTCATTAACCATCAAAATACACAGGCACAGGGGAGAGGGAAAGAAAAGAAAAACACTTCTGAGTTCTGGAGTCCAAGTTCAAAGATGGCCCAGGCAAACCACAGCATTTCAACATTGCCAACAAGTGTCTCTCTCACTTCAGTGGTAAAGTTTTATTTAATATATTAAGAGCTTTATAAAGGGGTCTCAGAGCCACAGAGACCACATCAAATGCTTCTTTAAAAAAAAAAGGCCTGTGCACATTTTCCCAATGAAGAATCTGTCCAAAGACTTTTGAAAACACTTTAATACCCTCTCCTTCCAAAACATTACACACTATTTCTCCAACATCTTTACGTGTTTCCAGGGAACTCCTGGACCAAAAATAAAAGCACATAGGTGGGAGAGAATCTGGAGATTCTTCTATGCCAACATGTAAACAGACCTTCTCTTTCAATTGCTATTATTTCATGTAACAGCAGTAATCATTCCCTCATCTGCAAAGGAAATATATAATCCAGCTGTGGTGGCTCCAGCAAAAATACCACATCTGTGGATCATTGGCAACGTTGTGGCAAGATGGCTCAAATCTGGGCGGTCTCAGTGAATTCTCTTTTATACCAAAGAAACATGGGTATGCTTTTCTGAAAGTGCATATAAACTTTGCCAAAACGGGTCGCTCCTTTGTATGCTGAAAAGAGGTTTTCATTATCCACACCCGGTGGAAGGAGGCTCTCTTGGAATATTATTCCCAGTAGCCCGTGGTTATAAGAAGTCCTCATACCCCTCTTGGCCAGTGCCCTTGTCAGTATTAAACAGAGCAGGGGAAATTCTCACTCCCGGTTTCTGGGAGGAGGTTCTACCATGTGGCTGGCAGCGGAGCTAACTGCTGGTTTTTCACTTAGCAGGCGACCGGCTTCCGCAGAGAGGATGGCAGCCGCCGTTCGTCGCCGTTCTCTCCTCCAGTGTGTGAAGTCAGAGGGTGACTGAGCACTGGGGATAATATTCCAGGATTTGCCCTCCCCAAAGCGCATTAGCAAGCCTCTACAGTTATTTCTCAGCCGGTCTACCACAGTCCAATGCCCAGCCCAAAGTGCGCCCTGAGGGTTTCTACCTACAGACATACAAAAGCAAAAGCAGCATAGCGGAGCCCTGACAGACTTTTATGCCCGAAATATTAAAACATGCCCTGCGGCTACTGTGCTGGAATGCCGATCGCCCCCAAACACTCGGGGTCCCCTTCCATCCCGGACAATAGAGAAGAAAATAAAATGAAAGTGGACTTACTGCTATGGCTTGCAGCCTTTCCTTGTGCAATTCCGCCTCTGCCATCCTGGAGAAGGGCACACCGAGAGTGGGGAAGAAAGAAAAACAAAACACACGCTGTAGTCACCCAAAGAAACTGATGGGCACCCCGGGGGGGCTTTGCTCTAACCCCGGGGAGAGCGGAGAGGCGGCCGTGGATCCGCTCCCGGGGGTGGAGGGCAGAGCTGTGCGCAGGCTGGCTCGGCCCGGGCTCAGCCTCTGGCCCCCTCCCGCCCGGTCGCCTGGCTGCGCCCCAGCGCCGCCGCTAACTGCATCTCCCGGGCGCGCCAGTCGGGGACGTGGGCCACGGGCAGCCGCCGGGAGGGCGCGCTTGGCCCGTGCTCGTTCGCCGCCCTGACGTCTCGGCGCCTCGCTCCGCCCCTGGGGTGTGGGGCACCCGCGGCAGCGACCCGGGACAGCTCTAGGCTGGCAGGGGAGGCCGGGGCTGCCGCCGCAGGAAGGTCCTCAAGGCGCCCCGTGTTGCGCGAGCGCGGATGGGCACCTGGGTGGCCGCGCACGGCGAGCTGCTAGGTGCGCCCCTGGCGCGCCCGAGAAAACACGCGCCCGCTGGGGCCTGAGCTGGGCAAGGTGGCGCCTCGGCGGAACAGACGCCGGCTGAGGGACCTCTAGCAGAAAATGGGCCCTGAGTCTGTGTGGTTCCGTGAGGGCTGTGACCACCGGGGGTTCTGGCTGCCAGATGCCTGGGCTCCGTTCGCGTGGGGACGTTTCCTCGCCCACACGCCGCTTTGATGGCCGTGGCCAGTTTCCCAAACATCTCTCTGGGCAAGGGCAGGGTGTAACTTAGAACAGGCCACCCCTCTGTGAGGCCAAATGTGCTTTAGAAAAAGTTGAGAATTTGTCCTTATGGGTGCTCCGCTAGGCTGGGTTCCACAACTGACTAGTTGTGAAAACCTTGGCAACTGAACCTCAGTTTCCTCATCTGAAAAATGGATGCCCACAACGGCTAACCTCACAGAGCTGTCCTCAGTGATAAATGAGATTAAGTACATACAGGTGCTCGGTAAAGGGCAATCTGTTCTTATTATCCTGTGACATTCTGGGTTGAAACACTTTGAGGGTCATTACTTCACAGTCTCTGAAGGAAAAGTAAGATCTGGTCACCAAAAACACCTCACCTATTCTTTACCAAAAATGGAGACAGTATGAAGTGTATCTTTTGTGACAGGCCCTGGGCTGAGGCCCCATCTGAAAGGAAATAAGTGCTAGAAACAAACAAAATAGTTCTTAACACTCAGGAAGGACTTGCTAGAATCCCCTACATTAATAAGCCAGCATTCCTCCATAAATGAATGAAATGCAATGTGACCTCTTTAGATCCATGAGTCTCTAAATGAAAGACTTAAGAAGGTATTCTAAAGGATATACACATCACATTGCTCCCAAAACACCTTTTTCCCGAGCAAATTCTTGCATTTTAACTAAATCCAGGTTTTTCAACTTTCATGGCAGTCACCTGAGCAATTATTACTCTGCTTGAAGACTGAAGCCATCACCAAATAGTTTTACTGATTGTTTTCCCTTCCTTTTCAAAACGCTGTGGGTGGGTGGGGCTGTTTATGTCATAAATCTAAGCCAACACCACATTTGACATCTTCCTCCAATATATCCAGTTCGTCTACTTTCAGGCTGACACCCATTACTTTCTTCAAACATTTCATTTTCTCTTCATTTCCAGCACCAGCTCCAGGTGGACAAGTCCTTTGAGGGGTGTTTGCTCACAAATAAACAAAACTGTTGTTATTTCAGCAGAGTGACTGTGTACCCCACAAGTGAAGAGAATAACAGGATAAGGAAAGTGAGACCAGACAGTGTGGGAGATTTAATCAGGGTCATGGAATTGGGATTTAAACTCAGACACACTGTCTGGAGCCCATGTTCTTGACCACACCACAGCAGGCTCTGCTGTGTTATGGAGGCGGGGCAGGCCCCAGTAATAAATAAATGAAAACAAAACAAAACATAACAGGCTAGTAGTTGCCAGAGGGTTGGAGGGTTGGGGAATGGGAGAAATGGGCAGAGGGGAGCAGAGGTACAAATATCCAGTTACAAGATAAATATACAAATAAATAAGCCAAAGAGTAATATAATATATAGTATGGGGACTATAATCAATAATACGGTGTTGGAAATTTGAAAGTTACTAAAAGACAGTCAATAGTCATTATGATGATCATTTTGCAGTGCAGGCAAATATTGACACATTATGTTGTACACCTTAAACTAAAATAGTGCATGTCAATTATATATCAATTTTTTAAAAAGAAAAAAATGTAGACAAAGAGAAATCACCTTCTCTCCTCTTCACCCCCAGCTATATATAGATTTTAAAAAAAGAATAGTGGAGAGCAACAAAGTAAATGGACTTAATGTCATCAAACTGTATATTAAAAAATGGTTAAACTGGTCAATTTTATGTTATGTATAGTTTACTAGAATAATTTTTTTAAGGAGAAATAGAAGGGGAGACAGACTAGGAGAAGAGTTTGAGCAGCCTGGATGTGACCAGTTGGAAAGCTCTGAAGTTTAGGAGAATCAGGATTAGTGACACCAGTGTCATCTAATTTTAGGTTATAGAAAAGAAATAGGAATGGCCGAGGTAGAAACAAGGAGAGGAGAAAGTAGAACAAGGAGAGGAGAAAGCCTAGCAAAGGAAGCTGAAAAAGTATCATCTGAGTGGGAAAAACTTGGACAGAAGGGGTTTTGAACAAGGTCACTTTCTTCCAAGATGTCAAGAAAGACACAGACTAAGAAGAGCTCACGTTTGGGGCAGTGGTGAAGCCATGGTGACATTGGGAGAGCAGCGTGTATGTGGAGGGCGAGCCTGGAAGCAATGACAGGGAGTTGAGAATGAGAGGTGGAAGGAAGAATCCAAATGTGCAAACCACTCCTTGTAGACCTTTGCATGTAAAGGATGAAGGCAGAGTAGAAGGAAGGTGGTTCGTGAGGGTTAGGGTTGAGTTGAAGGGTTGTTAAGTCAAGTGAGACTTGAATGTTACAGGGCCAAAAGGAATTAGACATCAGGAAGTGAGGCCAAAGACACCATCATAGGAAAGGTAAGTATTAGTCAGAGTCTCAGATTCAACCAGAGGATATCCAGGTGAGTGCTGGTGGCTAGTTTAGCCTTAGAAAGAAGGAAGTACAGAAGGAGGATGGAATGTAAAGAAGAAATTTGGAGCTAAAAAAGAGAAGCTGAGTGAATTTGCATCAGATAGCTTTGCCTTCCTAGTTGATAGAAGAGTCATTGGTTGAGACTGATGGGCTGGGGTGGGGAGATGTCCAAATAATAGAGATGGAGAAAGGTAAAAGATGGTTCTTAACCAGATGTACATATCAGACTCTCTCAGGGAACATTTCTCTGAATATAGGTACAGAATTAAATTTCTACAGGGTGAGGTGGGGAGTAAGGATGGGTTTAGAACCACTGCACTGATTGAGTTTACTAGGAATAGAGAAAAGACTCATGACCAATTATGTGCATATCTATGATTTTTAACTGCCTGAAAGCCAACGATATGCAGTGATTGTGCTTACTCAGCGTTGTGGATCATCAGAAGAGAGAAGAAATTCAGAATACTGGAGCTGGGTTTTCGACCAGATGGAAATATAGCACTTTTTCATATTTGAGGGATGCTCAACAGGTGAACCCCTCTACATCATTGAGAAAGTCCCATATTATGAGCCATCCTTGAGAGTGAGTCACCTACCATTACAGAAGCTGGCTCCCCAGATCCCAGAAGCTATGACATGGCATAGAGTCTGGGATCAGTTGGGCACATAGATCTGCCAAGGATCTGGAAGACATAGCACTAAACAATCTTACATGCTGGTTGCTCACCTTTGTTTCTGCCCAATGCCCAAGTCTCCCTCTGTGGTCTTCCCAGTTATTCTGTGAGCTATTTAATCCATTTTTGTTCCATGCCTTATCTGTTCCTATCAAGAACTGGTTTCTGTTGCTTGTGACTAAATAGACACAGGAAAGCATATGAAATGAAGAGCTGATACTTGGCCAAAGGGCAGAAGGAAAAGATTTTCTCCTCTTCCTGCACTTGTCTCCTCAAATTTCTAAACTGTAGCATTTTAAAATCACTGAATCCATTACCAAATCCATAAACAGACATTTATAACCCAAATGATGCCATTTCTTTAAAGAACTTTTATTAGGTAGCTATTCTACACTAGATATTAAGCTGTGGTTTATCATTACAAGTAATTCATAGCCTAGGGCTAACATTGGTGTAATTTTTGCACCCCACACATTTAAAATCTGGAAAGATACATTATAATGGTGCATAGTGTGTATTAGAAATCACCGGTTCTTGGGCCTCCCTTGTGGCACAAGGGGTTAAGACGCAGCACTGTGAAGCTATCTGCAGCCACTGCAGCTCAAGTTCAATCCCTGGCCGGAGAGGTGACCCACATGGTGCAGCAGACCTCTCCTGTCTTGCCCACTGCTCCCCTCAGCAGTGTATTTCAGTCAGTCTGCCTGTTCTGTTCCCCACTCTGTCTCTGGTGAATCCTCTCACCTCCCACACGCCTGGCCTGTACCCCAGTCTTGTATGCATAAATAAATCAATCTTTAAAAAAAAATCACTGGTTCTTGCTGGGGCATTAAATAATGTTGCACAGGCACTGTCTGTATTGGCATAATGGTTTTTTCCCTAAATGCTACACTGTAAAGCACTATGCAGAGAGAAAAAAGGAATGCTAGACTTGTAAACTAGAGATTTTGTTAATAGGGCAATTTAGGACTTGCGTACTTTAGGAAACAGATGATCACAGCCTATTCCCTTGTGGAGAAAACAGGAGTTCTGCAAACTGAGAAGAAAATGACTTGCCAAGGCCCACTGAGTGAATAAAAGCTAAAGTCTTGCTGAGTAGTAGCTCAGGGTATGAGATTTCATGGCAACCCAAAGCTTTCTTTTGACTAAAGTAATTTAAAAAGGAATGCCAGGGTTCTCCAAAATGTGTGTATTTTCAGAACTGTCTCTTTCATAGGATCTTCTAAAATGTGTGGTCATTCAAAGCATATGCGATGGTTGCACAAAATCAAAGGGCAGGACACTGCGCTTGGAACTCTTTCAGTTCCTGTGGTTGTGAACATCTTAGGAGAGTTAATGGGATTTCATGTATGTGCTGTTTTTTTTTTTTCTATGGGAGTCAAATGATACATCTGAAGAGTGTCCTCCTTGACATGAGGAGACAGAGAAAGAAGTTA